AAAGATCCGGAAATCAAATGTACAAAACGAATACGGCGTCGCCGGAGCGTCGCGAGTCGTGCGGCCACCGTCCGGAGAAAACAACAGCTCCGTCTCCCGTTGTTGCTTAGCTACCATATTTACTTTCCTACTACAATAATATGAGGTCGCGATCGGAACGATAATGAGACGCGAAAAAAATATGCGACATCGTAAGATTTTTCATTCGGTTGAGGGAATTTATTTCCAACTCTCTCCGTATTAAGAATAAATTCCTCCACTTTCTTTTGAAGATAATTTTATCGTATGTATATTTTTGTAAAACAATTGAGTTTTAATTAAAATCGTTGATAAGATTACTATTCAGCACATAATATTATGTCGTACAAAAATAATTATCATGACATTATTTAACACAATTGAATTTTAATCGTATTAAAATCGTCGGCAATGTAAGATCACTGTTCACCACATAATATACATATACCTATAAATGTCATATAAAAATAACCACTTTCAGGTAATATTACAGATAACGCCACTGGAAAATGTCACGGTGTCGCAATTATCTCGAAGTCTGGATCGTCCCGATTGACCTAAAAAGCAAATCGCCAGATTCGAGTGTAATATGTATGCTTCTCATCATGAGAACGTCAGTTTTTCGGAAATTTCCAGCACGGTGGAAACTGGTCATTTTCGTTTAATTAAGTTAATGTGCGGGTTTTTGCGCGAAATCAATAGAATAATATCTTTAATTTTAATCAGCACGTGTAATATTATCAAATCGTTTCAAATCTCGAAGTAGGGTATCAAAAAAGGTTTCCCGTTAGTCATGGAACGCTTTGGATGCTTAAAGCAGCATCGAAGATACAACATCGGTATTCTTGCGTTACCAAATCGCGACCGTGGATCACAGGCGATAATTTCAACTTGAAACAACCGCCAAATTAATCTCGCAGAAAATATATAATAAAAAATATATAACAAAAATCCGCGAAGGAAGAGCGGCGTGAGATCTGACTCTTAAATTCGTACAAACGTTATAGTATCTATATAGATAAATTTAATATCTCGCGCTGTTGTGATTGTGCGATGCAATATCGTGATTGAAAGTTGCGATAAACCGGCTCTTGTTAATTACGATTAATTCGTGCGTCAAAATTGTTCGTCAACAGGAGCAGAGGTGGATAAATCGATTTGGCACATTGTTTACTTTTACAGTTAACCAACACGTGAAAAGATCGCGAAATATACACATTTCAACGATGAAAAAAATTGTCGGGTTTAAGTATTGATCGAGCTCTATTATATCAGCACCGAATATTAATAGACTTCTTTTGAGAATACCTCACATGCAGATATAAATGCTTTTGATGAATTAATATGCTCGCTATTGTTACGACAAGTGACAATCAATTTACAGTCAATATTTCTATTCTACTTTGTTCTCTCAGACTTTTAGAATTAATTTCACTCTTAAAAATTGAAAATTAAGCCTTTTCCAAGACTGGCTTCATTTTCACTCTTTAGAGTAAGATTTCAAAAAATTTAGAGAGTATAAATTATCGTTGTCGCGAAGCAAGATCTACAAAAACCTGTACTTGATTAAGTTTTCATTGCGAGCTAGAAATACTGATTTATGATTGAAAAATTTCTTTCCAGCTCGCGAGAGCGCAATCAATAAAAAGAAGTACTATTAATAAAAAATGGATGGATATATAATATTTCAGCGAATGCGTGTGTGATCCACGATCGACGATCCAATCTAGACTGGATGTAAAATGGCATGCTTACGTATTTTAGAATTCACGGCGATCGCGATCCAATCTACTCGAGGACGCTTCGGTGGGAGAGCGAATTTCGAGAGCGTTTCCCTCTCCTTCTTCAATTTGGCAAATTTGTCTGATGCGTTAAGAAGGCCCCTTTTTCTACGAAGGTAAATGTGAACGATTGATCACAGATCACAGTATACGCACAGGCGCGAAGAGAAAACGTGTCGCACGCTGAGTACACCCGGTACTCAAGGATCGCGTTCGCACCGAACAGTAAACTGCGTCGTCCCGAGTAAATCAGCTCTCGATCACGTACGTACAACGTTGGCAGTTAACTTTCATATGCATGTGTATAATATATATGTATATACGTCATATAAATACATATATTTATATGAAATATATATATTACACATACAAAATGGCACACAAAAAATGTCATTCTATATAATTATCCAATTTTCCAGGCTGTAATAATTAATTCCATACCAGTTCTCTGTACCAATTTTGACAGAAATAAATGTGTCATATTTACGATAGGTGAGTCATTACCTCTCAAAAATCAAGGCAGTACATATATTAAGGTTATTTATTGACTCATCCACATATAGAGCAGATGGTATGACATTTCGTGCGCCACTTTATATACCTACCTACCTACATACATACATACATACATATGTATATTATATGTATATATATAGATCTAGACATATATATGGCATGTACGTCATCAACGACGGGCGATTATGGGTTCCCCTCGTAGTTTTCAATAATAATCTGCAATATATCGACGTCTGCTGTAGACGAGGCGACGTCGCCGAGAAAGACACTTTTTCCTGCTTTGTGTAAAAAAGAAAAGAAAGAAAAAACGGCACGCGAGACATATGAGGCACACTAAAGCGGCTGTTGCTTGGTTGGCGCGTGCTTTCGCGGCCGATTGACTCGAGAATAACGATATCCTTATGACTTTTGCAAGTCGTAGGAAGTGAAGGTAAAATACTTTCGTTTCCATGAACATACTCTCATCTGGCATTCGGCACCGGCAACGTAACGGCGCGAGATCGAATCCGGTTCATAATTCAGCAGAGCAACCAGACTTTACAAAAGGCAAGTTTCTAAAAAAAAAGAAATAAATAAATAAAAAAGATCTCTTATCTTATAAATATAGCCGAATAATCGTAAAATTGAACAAAAAAGAAACAAGATAAATTAGATTTCAGACGTATTGCGGACGCCTTTGTGGCACTTTCAAACGCGTGATCTTTCTTACACGCACTCTATTCTTGTAATTAAAAGAAAAATTTATTTCAAATATAAAGTAAATAATACCTTTCCGCATTAAACTAACATGATTGGTCATTCTGTATCTGACGAATCGAGCAACATTTAGTGCTTAATGCTGTCTTATATAAAAGCGAAAATGCGGGGTTTTTTCACCACATGGGAGGAACGATTTTGCTGAAAAATCTAAAATTTTGCCAGATCTGAAAATAATTCTGTTGGAGAGAGCATCAAAATAGTTTTGTTAGAAACTCAAGCTAGAATATCAAAATTTTATGCATTGCTTATCATTTTTTAGTTTCCAACATAATTATTTTGATGGTTCAACAAAATTACTTTCAGATATGTACCCAGCAAAATGTTTGTAAATTTTTCAGCAAAATCATTCTTTCTGTGCAGAGTTTATCTAATCAGAATTATCAGCGCAATAGCAATTCTCTCTTTCTTTCCCTCTATGAATCCTCTCCGCAATCACAGTCTTTTTCTAGGCGCTTCCCCAGTGAATCGTTCGTTTTATAATTCAAAACTAACAAAATATACACCCGATATAACAAAGAGGAGATGACGCTCCTCGAAGCCATTCCTCAGAGTCGCGCGCGACACACTTTTCCCCTCTCGCGAAAGACAAACGGAGTCGGACAACGGACTCGTCGACCTTCGGATCGGAAGTTTTGTCCTCCCTGGAGCAGGCGATCGATGTTGGCTGCGGCGACACCATCCTGCATTCTTATGTAATACTAACACTCGGAGCGAGTACGCTCCGTTTGACAGAAACTTTTCGCTCTCTTAGGCCTTATACATTTCCACTTGAATCTCACATGAAGCCAGTCGGGTGAGATAACGGGTGTACTTGGCATTTCTAAACGGATATGTCTCTATACGATACCCTTTTGACTAACAACTTATTTATATCGCGCGCGATTCGCAGTTTTAATAATTTCTCTCGCCGCATTTTTGAGCAAAGTTAATCCAATATGTCTCACTAATAATTTCATCTTCGCGAAAATAAAAATTGTGACTTTCGAAAATTTACTAAAAGAAAATATATAACATGCACACACAGAATACTGACCTGCGTTCCTTTAGGCCTCGGTTCTGGTGGCGATAACACAGTAATTTTATTATAATATTCGTAGCGAGATTTATAATATTCTTCTCGATCTTCTCGATCAGAACAGTCAATAATTGTCTCTTTAAACAAAAAGCATAAATGCGCGCTGCGCATCTCGTAAAAATTACAAAACATAATAAAATCTTCCCTTTCCTGAATGTAACTTTTGAGAGGAGTCACACATTTGCATTTTAAAAGCGTTAATTTCGCGTTCTACCGAGGTAAGCATCACGCGCTGTAGTTCCGCGATGTATCGATATTTGTGTATACGAAAAATAAAAAAAAAATCCTAACATTTCTATCGAAAAACTGCACCTGGAAAACATCGTGAGATTTATCATCTCGTTTTACAAACGCGACGTCTCAGACTCGGCTCGCCCATCACTTCTTTCCATTTTGCCGTACACTCTTTTCTCTCTTTCCCTTTCTCCCCATCGTATACTTTTACAAACCGCCCCTCTCTCTCACACACACACATGCACACATATGCACACATACACGCTCCCCGCATACCGATATATATCACTGAGAACCGCGGCGTCCTTCCAGCGGGATCGCGGCAGGAACAGTTCGCTTCGCTGCCCAACACGCCATCGATAAATTATTATCAACGGCATCGCTTGTACGCGATTCCGGCAGGCGGAAGCTCACCCGTGAATCTCCTTACGGGTCTGCTCATCGGCATTCACGCGCGCCGGAAGAATCCCGTGTGAAAAGCGGATAGGATCAGACCTGTTAACAATCCTTCGATCGCGAATAGAAACTAGTTTAACTCTCCTTATCTACGCCTTGTCTACGTTGGCCGTGAATCGCAATCGAAATCATACCCTCGTGTATCTCGACGATGTGGCCGATTAAGCGATAAGCGATGCACATACGATTACGAGGGCCACGGATGATAACAAGATTGTTGACGATCCAGCGTGGAGCGGACCGTTCGGATGAGTCTTCATCGACGGGTCTGAAACGAAGAATGCAAATTCATTTCTTTGGTATATCAAGTTTCCTTTCTCGTTTTAATGAAACGAACATTCCTCGTAATTGTAATTAGAATACGAAAAGCGGTCTTATTTACATTGGTGTTTGTGACTATATAATTGTATGGTAAAATGTTATAATTACTCATATACAATTAAATTTTGCAGTTATTACTGCTATAATGTTAATAATTATTATTATATTTATAGTTCTATATACAAAAAGTATATATAGTTTGTCCTAATAATTTATAATCATCTTCGAGGTCGCCTATATATTGTACATAAAAAATATCATTCTACTGCTAAGAAACGTGATTACACAGTTTATATTTTTTTCTTTTAAATAACGGTTATTTTTAACAAAGAATATTTTCTCGATAATAGTGTTAAAATATACTTATTACAAATTTTAGAGAAAATTATCTTAATATCATTTATTATCTCGAAACAAGGATTTATTTTCTCTTATGAAGAATATTATAAAATTTTATCCAAGAAATGACTTTATACAATGAAAGCAAATCGAAATAACTAAAATGTGGAGTTTCCAACCATAATTATTTTAGCATGCAACTATAGTACACAAATACCAAACACTTTTCTTTCAGTACGTTATTTTAAAATTGCTGCTGCCTTTTCATTCCTCGCATCGCTAATTTTTATTTCCTGTGCTTCTCGTTGTTAATCCGAATTCTCCTTTATTATTGGAATCCCTCTTGTTAAAATGTGCTTTTAGATAATATTTAATGTGCACCGCACGCGGAATATGGAATTGCGCATTACCAGAATACTTATTTTGCAGCTGCAATTGCCTTTACGTTCGGTAATTAAATCAGACTAATTCCCATTATGCTCTTTCATCAGAAAAAAAACTTCTCTATTTTGTCGGGGCGTATCCACGAATAATGCGCTATTTGATACGTGCTTTAGAACCCTGGTTGAGAACGAAGTCCTATCGCTAATAATGACACTCGATACGCGCCGTACACAGGATTCATCTGACAATGAAGTTTCCACCGGGAATGCACCGGCTGGTATTATCAAAATGCAAATCAATGCGGACGTACACGACCCGTAGGATACGATACCTATCGTAGTGGGACCCATTCCAGAGCCGGAGGCCTCGTCGTCATCATCGCGGTCGTGGCCGTCTTCGTCATCATCGATCTCGCCGTTACCGTGCTGCCTCCAGACCGGGCTGTCCCCGCTTCCGGAGCCGTCCAAGGCCTCGTCGGCCAGAAAGGCATCCGGTCCGATGTCGGACGACAATTGGGACTGCACCAACTATTACGAAAACACACAGAATCATCATCGCATTTAATATAATTCGAAAGAGAGAAACAGTACCGGTACACTATTATAAGTTATTTAAATATTTCAGACTAATATATTATTTTTATAAAGATGCGCCCATATTCTATTCTTCTAATTATTTATTCTATTGTTAATAAATCATTGCATTGATAAAAAAGACGTAACTGAAAATTAGCAATTTTCTTTGGAGCATTATTAACTCATAACTGAAACATATGAATCCTGGCGATTCTGGGGAGATACATCTCATTTTTAAATAATGTAATAATGTGGAATAATCTATGTTTCACAGTTCTTATTTTTCAGTTTTATTTTATTCATGTGGGCTAATTAGTATCGCTGAGAGACAAATTTTTGATATTTCTATGGGTGTACAACTTTGCTCTCGCCGTTTTTACAGGTATAAATTTATACCTGTAAAAACGGCGGGAGCAAAGTTGTACACCATAATATGATGAGGATTTTCAAAATTCGAATACAATCCTAGTATTCGAAATATAATGTTTCGTTTTTATGTTGTTTTTTTTATAATACATTAGTCTCTGGGTCGATTTCCATTCATTATCTCAAAAAATGCTATTTTTTTTATTTTTGTCATTTTTCTATCAACGCGACGCAATAGTATATACCTATTATATTGTTAGAAATAAGACGCTCTGACGAGATTAATTGTTAACAATCGTCGCTCAGTGAAATACCGCTCGTTATGCGAGAGCAAGGTGGCTACAAATTACAACTTGAGTACAAGCGTAATTGAAATCGCCGACTAAGTGTGGGGATAACGCATAATTTTCCGAAATTAATGGCTATTATATGCCAGAGTCTCGTTGGAAAAGTCGCGGACGCACGCTCGGCAACCGCCGCGTGATCGCGAGGAGATGATAGGGATTAGCTTTGTCATTGGTAAGTCATTAAGTTGTCCCATTTACCCAAAGATCTCAATTAACCCACTTGACCCAGCTAGATGTAAGCAGTGTTCAATTAATCGTCAACACTCTTCGTTCTAACCTAGTCACTTCGCGTGAATATAACAGATATAAATTTATATTCTGCTAAAATCAGACACGAACAGGCAGCCTTTAATCTCGCTCTTCCTCGAACACCTCGTGATCATTACTTGATGTTTACACCTGCCAATAATACCTCGCGTCCTATTATTCACTGATTTCGCGACCTGCTGCATATATCACGCCGTCTGATCGTGCGATCATGTCATACGAGTACACACACATGGAAAGAACGATTTTGCTAAAGAGTATCTTAAAAAATTTACTCTTTAAAACACTTTTAGAATGAATCACATTCTGAAGAGTGATTTTACTTTCAAAAATTGAAAACTGAGCCACTCTTTTTTAAGACTGGCTCGATTTTTACTTTTTAGGGTGAAATTTCACTCCAAAGAATTTATTTAGAGTAAATAGATATAGATCTGAAAATAATGTTATTAGAGATCGTCAAAATATTTTAATTATTTAAAAAACTCAAGTACGATGAAAAATGCTGCAAAAAAACTTTAACATTGTAATAATCAGTTTGTGTGTTCTACATAACTATATTTTGATAGTTCAACAAAATTTATTTTCAGATCTGTTTCTAGTTAAATTTTTCAATACTTTAGCAAAACCATTTTTTTTTTCGTGCATATACATGGTGTATATTTGAACAATCCGTTCGCAATCCGGGGAATCCCGAGTGAATTTTTCGTCGACGAAGATCTCGTTTCGCGTTACGGAATTGCATGACGCAAATTAACGAAGTTATTTGGATGAACCGTTTATCAGAGATAGTACAACGAACGGCAAATCGATCATGAACACCGTGTATACATGCGTATACATACGCGTGTCTCACGATATTCCAATCAGAAGTAAACGGTCTGATTCCTCGCACGTGAATTAACATGCGTATAGGTACTATGCGTGTGCCCCACACCCGACGGTTGCCAACTTTAATGGCGCCGCAGACACCACGAAAGAATACAATAAAAAACGAAGACGACGAACCGTAATTAAACTTGTTTAAAAATTGGGAAATTTATTTACTCAAAAATCTATCTTCAATTCCGCGATTTATATAGAAATATAAATCTCCCGAAATTTTTATAATTTTATAGCCTCTTAAACCAAAAGTATAAATCATTCACACAAATTGACGTAATCATTCTCTACCTAATAAAAAATTAATTAAATGACAATTTTATTGAAAAATTTAATATTTATACTAATTTTAATATTAAAATTGTGTTAGTTTTCTTTAGGTTTTATTACAATCTTTTCCATGAAGATGCAACAAACAATAGAGTTTTATCTTACAATCAAGGCTGTATAAAATTACAGTTTATATGTTTATAAATTATATAGTTTATTAACTTTATATATAGTCGCAAGTCTAAAGTTGGAAATGTAATAACTATCACTCTTAGAAGACCTGGTTTCACCGATGCAAGAATAACTTTAATTACTTACTATTTATTTTGTCTAAGTCTAAACTAAAAAAAGATAAAGAGTAAATTAAATCGTGATTAATGTCCGTATTCATAGTTAAACCCTGTACTTAAAGCTTCTTTAAATTTATTTTTAGATACTCAGTAGCCAATGAAATAATTCGTACAGCATATAAAGATAAATTTAAGAAAGCCTTAAATATAAGGTCCGACTATGAATACGAGTACAAATTGTATATAGGTATATCGTTAGACTTGGACTTTAGAGGTAGGTATAATTGCAATCCAAGTGTGCAAAAAAAAAGTGACATTAATATGTATAAGTAATCTAGTTTTTTTCGTGTAAAAATGATACTATACGTTAAAATGGGTAAATTCATTTTTTAAATACAGTATAGTGTCATTTTCACATAATAGAGAAAAGTAATCACACACATATTGAAGTCACTTTTTGCACACTTAGATTTTTAGTGTATAGGCGCGATGGTTATGAATCAGATGCGTAATCATTTTTTTTGTTTAGAAATAATCGAATTATAAAACGTACAAAATATTATCTCTATAACATAATTATTTCAGCAGTCGAACTCTCTCGGCATACATTTGTACTCTATTGAACGGGTTTGAGCACCCACGTGCCAGGTGAAATCTACGCAACGCGACACGTGCCTCGACACACCGTCTACGATCTGTACTCTATGAATAATTCTAGATAGACGAGAATTTATGATTCGTCTAGTACATTCGTCTGGCAGTTACGGGTCACCGGGCGGCCTTTCCGCACCAACAAGTTATCGCGATATCAGTTTACGAATCGCGACAAATCGCTTTAGATCTGAACCTATAATGCAAAACGAGAATAAAAATTTCGAATAAACCTATAACGAGATCACCATCTTTTAATTAAATTCCGAAATAGCAACAAAATAATTTTATATACTTTTATCATGATTTTTATATTATATATTGTGTAATAAAATTATGTATATAATGAAATATATATAATAATAAATAATAAATTAAACAAATTTATTATAAAATTATAATTATTAAATTATATATAAATATATTTAATTAATTATTATTAATTATATCTACATTACGATATTCGAATCTGCACATGTGCGAAAGAAATTTACCATTTTGTTATAAATCTCGGAAAACTTAACTTCTGTTCTTAAGCTTCAATTATCGTAAACTCCATTTCGACGAGAGTCGGACCGCCTGTTGTTCGTCGCACGGCATTTGAATTGACGAACGAATGAAAACTACGGCACGATTTAATCCGAGGGAGAGGAATCCACTTAAGACCTCGGCGACGAATTACGACTTCATGTACTCACCTGATTAATGTGTCTCAATTGATCAATGAGCGCGCTGGTGTTCGTATTGCCGGAGTAGCTGGTTGGCGTCGACGACATCGTTATCGTGAATTCAGGATTATATCTCTGAGCATTCAGACTGGAATCCACCACAGTTTTCGTATATCTGAAACAAAATTTAATAACGCGACTACAATGAATTTGGTCCAAATCGAGCCATACAATTAGCTGATAAATGAAATTATATATTTATAAAATTACAGAATCAATATAGTGTCAGACGTTTTAGAAGCATAGGTCCTTCTTCATTTATTCATTAAAGTAATGATCACAAATTTTAAAGGAAACGATTTTGACATCTTCTTTTCTTCAATCTTCTTATTTTCAGTGAATTTATTGGACGATATTATGTATGATATTATGTGTGATATGTTACATATTTAATAGTTTTACAGATTAAATGTTTCCAATTGTCAAAATTTAATAAGAAATGCGACTGTAATAAAATTAAATTAATTTCGTGAAACACATTGTATACAGATAAGCAGATAATTTTGTAAACAAAAGCTAAATGAAATCCACGCAATAAGATATTGAAACATCTATAATCTTTATATTATGACAGAAACTTAAACGTATAATTTAAAACTGAATGTAGAATTACGAATGTATTAGGCGTAAAAATAACTAAAATTGAAAATTTATACTTTTCGTATAAAAAGAAATATATATATATATTATATATATATGAGATAGTTTAATAAGAGAGAGAGATTCATATTTATATTTTACAATACAAATTTATAGTTCGAATAAAAATTTTCTTTTTCTTTAATTTTATATTTAATGTATCTTATTTAATAATTTTTTAAAAACTTGTGTTTGTATTATTGTGAAATAATTTTGATCCAAGTTCTAAAATGCTGCCAAATTTTTACTTTTAAATATAATATAAAAAAATGTTTTTATAATCTTTTCATTTAGCTTCAATTCATAAAAAATATTTAATGTAATGCATTTTTAACATTTAGAAAAAAAATTAGAAGAAAAGAAAAGAAATTATGAAATGATATGATAATCTCATATCGAACTGTTACATTGCGCTTGTGATTCAAGTAAACCGGAAATAAATATCTATATAATCATATATCAAATATATGTATATAAAAAAAAATATATATATACACCATATATATATCTTCACGAATAGTCTAGAAATCGACGATACTTCGCTGGGGTTTTACTGTTTATACAGACTTGGTTGTGAAAGCACGAATACGCGTCGTAGCGTTTAAACACAATAATCGGAGAGTTATGAATAGAATACACCGAGTAGCATTTCTTCCGCGAGCACAATACGAGTCTGATTGCGTAAATCGCAAGTGTTAAGTTATCGTGCCCGGCTTCTATCTTCCCGTATTAACGATATAAGCTCTCGCCTTGCTGCCAATACGCTCCAACGTGCCATCGAAATGAATCTGTTAACCAGGCAGGTGGATAGGCTACTGCATATATTCATTAGAATCTTAATGAGGCACGATATCAGCCATACTTGGAATAACTAAATTTATACGGCTGAGAAATGTAAACTGAGAGTAATGTTTGAAACAAAAACTTTCTTATTTTTTCATTCAAAATTTGGGCTGTTCTAATCAAAATTTGATTAATATATTATAACATTTATTTTAGAACAACACAGTTTTTATTATTTTAATTAAAATTGTTCTAATCAAAATTTGATTATTCTAACTAAATTTTAATTAAAACGACAATTTTTATAAACGGTAAAAGTAAAAAAGTTTTTATTAATCATATAAAATAAATAGTTGTATACCAACACATTTCTATCAGTATATAGACTAAAGGTCTCGTTCGTTGATTCGTTTCCTTTTCTCGCTGAATTTCGGAAAACAATCTCCCTACAAAAAATACTAAATTAAAAATCGATTTTCGCACACCGTAATCTCGGCGCGAAAATTCCCATCCAGCTTTGTTTGATGTTTCGTAGAAATACGAAGCGAAACTCAATCCCGCACACGCGTCTACCACGCATTCATCCGAGCGCGCGGTTATCTTCCGCGCTTCTATCTGCTGCGGGGTGCTGACCGACAAAAGAGACAAATCGCTTCGTGCCGCTTCGCGGAATATCGCCTTCCGCTTTTCGATCGCCACGCGATTAAGCGCCTGCGATTCAATGAACCGGGAACAAATATATCCGCGAATAGTCCAGAAGTCGACGATACTTCGCCGAGACTTTATAAAGAGCGGCCGTTACTTATATTACATTGTTCTCGCTTTTCCTCTATATTATTGCAACGAATATATAACGGTCATAAAGTATGCGTAATGAAACATCGTATCTAGAAACCGTATCTTACAGATAATATTAGGTAAGTAAAATCATCAACTATATCTCAAATTTTAAGGTGACAATTCGCCGTAATTTATTAATTATCATAATAATAATAATATCGCGTGAAATTATCGTTATTAAAAATGACAACTGTTATAGCGTTTTATTTATACTCTTGCAATTTTTACATTACTTATCGTTAGCATTTATATAAATTTTTAATTAATTTACCGTAATTTATTAATCCACAAAATTATCATAATTATATAATTTTGCTGAAGTGTCTAAAAATTTTAAAAATACAGATTTGTAAATAATTTTATTAAAATAATTATGTCGTAGGACGATCAAGTTAATTTTCACAGAATGCTAAAACTTTTTGTAATATTACTCATGTAAGTTGCCTACATAATTATTTATAATTTTATATATAATTATTATTAATAATTACATAAAATTATTATCACTAAATTTTATATGTATTTCTAATTTTTCTCCTTATTCATATTCAAGACCTAAATTTCTTGGTTTGATCTACTACATTTTTTCACTATTATTCCCACTATTCATATGAAAAATATTACATCGCCAAACAGGCGTACCGAAGTATCTAACGTGGTTCGAATGGCTCGATAGCGAATTGAAATATCGCCAAAGTCGTGGAGCCGACTCTTCTTCTCGGTGCTTCTGAATGCCGACCATTCACGAAACGACCTCCTTCGAGAGAGATCGTCCTTCACCCTCCTCTTCATCCCTTTTCGCCTCGCGCACATGTCGCGCTTCTCAGTTTTCCCGCACTACCCAGCATCTTCCAGCGATTTTCCCGCGAACTTTCTTCCGCTCTTTTTCCGCTAAATCGCACCTTGCGGCATCTATCTCAAGTCATATCTTCTTTTAAAGCACTACATAACGTGCGTAAAGTTTCCTTTACGAACTCTCTCGCCGGTTCGCGAATTTTGATACGCCAAACTTGAGGATTATAATTTTATGGTTCTTTTAATCCTTTAATGCCACACTGTACTACTGTTTTGTTATGCAACTCATCGTATATGGCATACTTAACTTTAATTGCTTATAACTTTCATAAAAATAAACATATTGTTACTAAATTAAAACGCCATACATTAAGAAGGATAAATCGAGACATTATAAATATATCTATAAGTTCACAGTTTTCACTGCTGATAATAATTTAAAAAATGGGACTAAAACATTTGAAGAGATTCGTATTAATATGTACTATTAATTACATAATTTTTTAATATTAATTATTAATGATTTTGGAATAAGCACTAATTATATAGTAACATTGATTCTTAATTGCTCGTTTTTACATTTATTTTTTCTAAGTTTTCAAAATTTATATTCAATAAAAACAATTTATATATGACATATAAGCATCCAGAGTTCACTTTTATAAGTACTTGGAATTCTTTGATTTATATTCTTTAGAGCCTAATTACATTCACTTTGATCAAGAAATACAAAGGCATCAAGCAAATGTATGTATACCTTTATATTAGTAAAAAAATTATAAGTAATAAAATAAGCACACAGAAGTTCTGGAAGATTATTTTTTGAAATAAAAAGCCAGGTATGCCATATCGAGAATGGCATTGAAGAGTTAAAATTATTAGTACACATATTTATTGTTAGGAGAGCTAGAGAAAAAGTAAGAGCCGAGATATAGCGTTTTACTTTCTTTCGCACCCCACCTGTCGCTCCTTTCTCCTTTCTCCGCTTGAGTACCTCTTCATCCCTAACACGAGTACAATCTGCACGATCTCGACAGTGAGGGAAACGAAGACCGGGTGAAACGAGCCGACAAAGACTGATTCTGCGGCGATCGAACGCGAAAACTGTCCGGACGAAAACGACACGTTTCCACCTCGTTGCGTGTTATCACAGCGCAATACAGAGTATTTGATCAATGGTGTTGCAACCAAAGGAGAGATAAAACAAAAAGTAAAGCAAACGTAATTCCTCATCCCCTGCGTGCGAGTATATTATATTTCGGTCCGCGAGCTTGTTTCTCCTCGAGAACAGTTTTGTTCGTTCGGTAACTCGACGGACGCGATCGACGCTTCTGTAATTAAAGCCCGGGTTAAATTTCCGTTTAAGTAAAGTTCGCTCGAAACTGAATAAAGGATAGAGGTAAATTCGTGTAAGGTTTGACTTTCCAGTAGCTCGCAAGCGCTTTTTTGACCTCGCCTGACTCTCGCCTCGCGAAGGTATGCCCGTTGCAAATTGGTCAAAGAATCCGCGAATAAAAGAAGGACGTGGCGGATGTGGGGGCCTTTATATCGCATATAAGTGGTGCATGTATGAGCATCATCGATCTCTAACGTCGGGAAATGGAACGTGCTTTGGGGCAGATTAATATTTCAATGCCGAGAAAGAGCGCCATGAGATGCCGCCATTATTCCGTGGATTCCGAAAGCAAGGAGATACCCGTATCATCTCGTGCGCGAAATAGGACATTGGTCTGGTTTCCGACCTAAATACGAAAGTTGTATCCTCCTGGGCCACGTTTTGTCATTTCGAAGAAGACGATGGCTCGACGTTGTGTCTTAAATAATACGGAGCTTTCCTTTACATTATTCGTACACTTGGATGCAATAAAGATATAAACGAGTTTGGTGGTTTTTAGTAGAAAAAATTTTGACCGCAATATAAAATATGAAACTACAATACGTGCGTATATGCTTTCGAATGGTAATTATGGTTGCAACTGTATGTCTTATATAGAACAGTTATGAATCACAAAGTTAATTAAAGCGTATAATTGACTAACTGATATTTAATATGCAATA